TGAGGTGCTAGTCATGAACGAGGAAGTCTTTGAACTAAACTCAAAAATAATTTAATTGTACACTTGAAAATTATTGAGAGTATAATTGGATTGTTTGTAACAAGGGATAAATGCTTGAGGTGATGGATACTCCATCTACCCCGAGATTATTATGCACTGCATGCCTGTATCAAAATATTTCATGTACCCCCAAAACTATAGTTACTGTGTACCCACAAAAACATTTTTTTCAAAAGGAAATGAAAAAAAGCAGCTTTGAGATGATCAGCCTTCGCCATATCTAAGAACAACTATATAAAAGACCACAAACAAAAAATGGCCACTGAGCCCTTCCCAAATCATTGACCCAATATCAAGAACAAAGTAAGTAGTTATCTTAAGCTGCTAAGTTCTGGGGGTAATTTGTTAAACAGCAACAAATAATACCCTCAACAATCTATGCTAAGAAGTTATCTTTTCTGTTACTTAAAATTAAACTCAAAAGATAAGTGCTTTTATCAGTCATTTATGAAACAACAACCTCTCTCATTCCATATATATGTTATGAACATAAGTTTTGAACCCAAATAGCACCTCACATTAGCACTTACCTTAATACCAAAAGTGAACACTGTCATTATGATTTTAAATATGAGTGCCAGGCATAACTGCCATATAGCTGAATATACTCCAATGCCTGCTGGACGATCAGGAATGTCATCGACAATTTTACTGGCATTCATGTCATTTCTGTAGTCACAAAGAGAAGAGGATTCCAGGGGGCCACAGTCTGTAAAGAGCTCTTTGATCAGTTCGCTGGTGTTTAGCCTAGTGTATGGATTAGGGAAGGCTATCACAGCAGTAATGGCTGCAACGATAATGACTTCCAGAACGGGGTACTTTCCAAATTTGGTGGACTTGCGTCGACGACACCAGGCAATATTTGCCCTAATGAAAAAGGCTCCCCAAAGCCCTCCAAATACCCCTAGGAGAATAAAAGGAAACAGTTCAAAAAGGTACCATGGTGTATGATACTCCACATAAAAAAGGACCAGACGGCTGTTACCAAATGGATTGATGGATCTCAAAACAAACGCAGCCACTAAAGCAGCAAAAAATGATCTCCATAACGTCTTCAGAGGAAAATAATAGCTAACCTAAAAAAAAAAAAGGAAAGACAACTTAATGCTATCATTTTATAAGATGTGTCTGATATATTATAACTTGAATGGTAAATATCTTAGCTCTAAATTTTGCTGTAGTTAGAATTTACATACAATGGATTTCACTATAAGAAGAAAATTGATGTTATTATTATTTTTGGAGATGGTGATCGTCACTACAAAGTCACAGTATCAACTGATCATAAATGTCTAATAAATATTTAGAATACCTAGCACTGTTTTATTTTCAAAATGAGTTTCACATTCAATTCAATCACGGTGGTTAAAAATAAATGTACCGTCACCAATTCCTGTTAGCTTATAATGTATTTAATTTGCCTCTTCTGTATTAATAAAAGAGAATACAAACAACTAAAAGAAAAAAGTAAATTTAAAAACATTCTTGAACTAAAAGAGTTAAATTCCTAAAGGTAGAGTGTAAAATAGGGGTTCCCAGAGGCTGGGGGTGGGGAGGTGGGCAGGGAAAGGGGAGAAACTAGTCATTGGGTATGAAGTAACAGAGGAGGAGTAAGTCCGGGTGTTCTATCACACAGTAAGGTGATTACAGTTTATAATAACGTATTACATATTTCACATTGGCTCAGAGAGGATTTTAAATGTTCTCACCACAAGAAAATAATAAATATTTGAGGGTTTTGCTAATCACTCTGATTTGATTATTCCAAAATGTATACATGTATAGATGCATCACATTATACCCCAAAAACATAAACAATTATTATTTGCCAAAAAACCCAGATTTTAAAATAAACATAAAAAAAATCAAAACATTCCGGGTCACATTTTTATGTAAAAAGTCTTAAAACACCTATAAGAAAATAAAAGCAAAATAATCCACTGAAGTGACTAAAATGATTTCCTTAAACATCAGTAACTGTATCAGAAATAATTGCATGCAAAAAACTTTAAAACACAACAAAGGAATTAATCAAAATGTTTTAAATAAAAACTACTTGGGAGGCTGTGCCAGGAGAATTGCATGAACCCAGGAGGTGGAGGTTGCAGTAAGCCAAGATTGTGCCTTTGCCTTCCAGTTTGGCTGACAAGAGCAAAACTGCCTCACAAACAAACAAACAAACAACAACAAAAAAGCCCCACCAGCCTGGCCAATATCAATATGGCAAAATCCCATCTCTACTAAAAATACAAAAATTAGCCAATGGGAATAGATTGTGAAACATGTTTCACATGTCCTCTATCAAGTCAAATTCACAACTTCTTACTTTTAAATATGACAACAAAGTAAAGTTAAATTTTAAATAATTACTCATATTTATACATAAAAAAATAAATATAAAAAATAGTTTCCTCCAGGTATGGAACATGAGTAACATTTACTTTTTATGTAAGAATGAGTAGAAAACAACTTTAGAAAAATAATTTTGAAAACAAAATCTCTACCTATGACATCACCTATAAAACTGAAATGTGTGCTAAAATATATTTGTAATGATAATTACGTATAATTTTAATTGTTGTATTCTTTTTACCTACCTCCTCCAGGCTGAAAAGAACTCCTCCAATTGGTGCACCAAAAGCTACAGAAACCCCTGCAGCTGAGGCAGCTGATAGCACCTAGAAAGAGGATATGGCTTATTTCCTAATTCCTTAGAAATTCAAGCATACCGAATAAAAATTCTTCATGTCACTTGAATTTTCCAAGTGGCTTTTCTCAATTTAACTTGCAGGTTTGTTTCCTTGCTCCCTAAGCAAAGGGCAGGTATTCATTTATTCTATTAAGGTTTATCTTTTTCTCCTGTGCTTTAATTGAAAGGTCACACATTTACTATTCAGTTAAAAAACCATTTTTGCCAGATATACTAATGTGAATGTGGTGTAAAGAAGAGGAGGCAATGAATATAGACAATTTTCAAGATGTATGTTTGTGTAGTTAAGAGGGGAGGACAGTATCTGGGATGGTGGTTATTTTTCAATAGAATATCATTTCTTCAAGTTTTAGAGCTAACAGCTCCACCAGAAATAGTCTATTCCAAATCCTAGCAAGATATTCAGGGAAATGAAGACCTAGTAAGATTCCCCACATTTTACTACCCTATGCCCTCTGAAATGCTGCTAAAATACTGTTAATCTAGAGAGCCTCATTCTGAAAGCACACACAACAGCTTCTCAAATGACAGTCTCACCAAGCAACATCCCTATAATAAAATTAAAAGAAAAGAAAAATCCAAGAATACGCTTCTGTGTCCTCTCTCTAGTTCACCAGTCTATCAGCTGGTCAGGGTCTACTTCCCACCAGTATAAAGCCAGCTACACATATAATTTCACTAAGGTTTTATTTGTAATTATTTTTCTAAGAGTCTGTATTCCTTTTTTTTTTTTTTTTTTTTTTTTTGGAGACGAAGTTTCTCCCTTGTTGCCTAGGCTGGAGTACAGTGGCATGATCTCGGCTCGCTGCAGCCTCTGCCTCCCAGGTTCAAGTGATTCTCCTGCCTCAGCCTCCCAAGTAGCTAGGATTATAGGCGCCCGCCACCACGCCTGACTAATTTTTGTCTTTTTAGTAGAGACAGGGTTTCACCATGTTGGCCAGGCTGGTCTCGAACTACTGACATCAGGTGATCTGCGTGCCTCGCCTCCCAAAGTGCTGGGATTACAGGCATGAGGCACTGTGCCCAGCTAAGAGTCTGTATTCCTTTCACTACTTTAATCCAGCAAATATCCAAGGCTACCTACAGTATTTTTTCAAATGGTCAATTGTTACACTTCCAGAAAAGAAATTAGAAATAATCAAAATTAAGCTGTAAATGGTAAGAGCATGAACTCTGTAGCGAGGCTGCTGTGTTGAAATCATGGCTCTGCTACTTACTGGCTGTGTGACTATGGATATACAGCCTCTGTGTGCCTCAGTTTTCTCTTCTCTAAACTGGGAATGTGATAATATTACTTAGCTCTTAAGGAATTGAGTACATATATAGAGAGTGCTTACAACAGTGCCTGGCACCCAGTAAATGCTTTCTACAAATTTGGTGAATTAAAAATAAATAAATATTTGTTTTAATTAAATTGTTGGCATTAGAATGTGGATTCTGCTTATTTGGGGAGGAAAGGGAGCAAATTTAACTTCCTTCCCCCCACCCCACTAAAAGGAATGCAAACATATTTATTTATTTGAATGTCCTGATCCTGCATTTACAACCAGACTAACACCTATGTATCTATAACCCATACACATGTTTTAATCTGTTTCATAAGTAACTAAGAAGCATTTAATTTAACAACATCAGTACTCTCCCCTCTTGTCTACATGAAACTATGGGGTCTTAATGCTTTCAACTAACAGTGAAGTCTTGCCATTTATACATATACTAAGGTGACAGAATAACAACGTCTTAAACATTAATCACTACAGTGTGAATATTAAAATTTAGGTAAACTTAATTTCTAAGACATCTAATAAATTACATATATATATATATTTTTTTTTTTTCTTTCTCTTTTTTTCTTTTTTGATGAAACGGGGTTTCTCCATGTTGATCAGGCTGGTCTCGAGCTCCCATCCTCAGGTAATCTGCCCGCCTCAGCCTCCAAAAGTGCTGGGATTACAGGCATGAGCCACCACGCCCGGCAATTATATTTTTTTGAACTCAGAATGAGTAAGTAAAAGTCTTACCAAAAATGTCAAGGTACAACAGGAAGTAAAGGAATTGAATAGGGGAGGCAGATGTTCTAGCTCCATCTTAGCCACTGACGTGCAATGCTACAGGATGGTTTTGAGTTTCGTTTTGAACACACACAAATATATACCTACACAGTCGTAGGAGCAGTAATGTAGTAGATAAGACCACAGACTTCAGGGTCAAAGAAAAATGAATTTTGATCCACATTACACCACTCACTAGGTATGTGGTCCAGGGCAAGTTAGCTGTTTTCAGGTCTAGTTTCCTATTCTATAAATGAGGGTAACAGGCCCATATTACTAAATTACTGAGAAACTAAGTTTTAAAATGCAAGTAAAGTATTTGCTACAGTAGCAGATACACAGAAAGTAATCAATAATGCTAGCTATTTTGTTGTATAGTAAAGTACTAGAATCACAATTATTCAGAGATGAAACTATGACGATCTGAAGTATTCCACTTTTGGAATATCTACAGCCAATGCAAGAACTATATTTTAATGTGAACATTAAAATGTACTAGAATTATTTCAATTGAAGATTAAACCATTTGATAAAATAGTCTACCTTTTTGGTTACAGTACATAAAACACCCAACAAGAAGAAAAGGCTCTGCCAGTATTTAATGAGTTTTTTTTAAAAATCGTATCTTAAAACCCAAAGATCTCTGTACTATCTAGTGCTGCAGATTTAGATTTGCAAACTAGGAAGGGACTGGGCTCCCAAAGTCTAGAGCTAATATAAAGGACTCAGGAAAATACCCAGAGCAATCCAGAAACATCAGAGGAAATTCATAATACATATACGGTTTAAAGGTCTTGTAGAAGATCCAGGCTGGCCTGAAGAAACGGTAAAGGAAATTGCCTTAAACAATCAAATGAAAGGGATTTCCTACAGGAAAATCTCTTTCTCATATTAAAATCTCTTTTAATGTGAATTTCTGATTTAAACTTCAGGAGGTTCTAAAGGCCCTCAGAATTTCCCCATGGTGCTGGACAGCTTTTTTCATATCACATGTCACTTACACTGGCACCAGACACTGCCTCCAGGAGGAAAACACCACTGTTAGGATTTCCCAACCTCTTAATGTTGAAAGTTAAGAGTGAAGAACAAAGCTAAGCTTAGAAAACACATCAGAAGAAGAAAGATGTCATGTGAAGTGAAAACAGAAAGATCTTTGTGAAATGCAACTGAAACCCAGTGGACACCAGCTGTCTGTCTAAACCTTCTCTAAAATAAAAGACTCAGCAACACTGGGAATGGATCCTAGAGAGACGTTATAGATTATTCAGGAAAAGCAAAAGAAGCACCAATTAATCTCAAAATAGTTTATCTGAATACAGAATTTACTATTTTTACACTAAGAAATTCTTTACTTACATAAACTCTACATATAAACAAATATTTTTCAGTCAAATTAACTTACAAAAGACACTTACCTCCCTTTTTTTAGCTTCATTTGTGCTATACTTTGGAAAGAGGTAGGAAAAGATATTTCCGCAGCAACAGGCAACATGTACCAGGGGCCCTTCTTTTCCTAAACTCAAACCTGATGCCACAGCCAGGACTAATGTGATGGTTTTAATCATTAAAGTCCATTTTCCCAAGTAACCTCTGATGATGAATCCACTCAAAATAGTTTTAATCTACAAGGCAAAGATTAAGGCAGCTTAATTTCCTTTAAAAAACACAATTCCAAGTTACTTTCTTGTTTTATGCACAAAAACTACCTTGCAAATTTCAGCAACCTATAGAAAAATTTACTTAAATTTTCAGAAACTTTACCTATTATGCTACATATAATAAATTGATAATCACAATCTAATTCTCTACCAAAAAAGGAGAGAAGGCAACTCTATCTTAGGGATAAAATCAAAATATCAGGCCATGTTAAAATGATACAGACCTTAATTATAAGGATTATAATTACATAACAAAGAAAAAGGCAAACTAAAATATTTCTGTTGTAAAAGTAAGCATATTTTAAATATATTTTGGACATTGTGTCACGAATAAGAATATTATGTTTTCACTGAGCACTGTAATTATGTGGCATAGTTTTTATATATCATGAAGGATGAATTACACCTGTTATATACTGCATGACATTGCTTTTTATGAAAAATATTCTTAATAAAACTTTAAAGATCACTATAATTCTATTTTAAAAAGAAATACATTAGGAAAAAGTTGGTAACATTTAAATACAGAAAAATAAAAGAGAGAAAATAAATAAATTCAAATCAAGTTCAACCAATCCTATGTATAACTCTGTTGTGATGAAAAATAAAACTCAAGTTTGTACTGTTCACTCACTATGATCAACTACTTTCTCAAAGCATAAAATGGCCAAATTCAAGAATAATTAACTTAACTAATCAAAAGGTGATTATAAACAGAGAATGAATGTATTAAAATCAGGGTCATAACAGCAAAATATCTACTAATCCATCAAAGAACGTTAGGTCACAAGATACTTTTTCCAGGCTCTTGATGATAACTAAATCTTCCGAAAATTTGCCTAGTCATGTGTTAAATTAGTGTGACAGAAAAAAAAAAAATCAACCTCCGGCTGAGTGTGGTGGCTCATGTCTGTAATCCCAGCACACTGGAAGGATGAGGTGGGCAGATCACCTGAGGTCAGGAGTTCGAGACCAGCCTGATCAACAGGAGAAACCCTGTCTCTACCAAAAATACAAAAAAAATTATCCAGGCGTGGTGATGCACGCCTGTAACCCCAGCTATTCAGAAGGCTTAGGCAGGAGAATTGCTTAAACCCAGGAGGCAGAGGCTGAGGTGAGCTGAGATCTCGCCATTGCACTCCAGCCTGGGCAACAAGAGTGAAACTTCATCTCAAAAATAAATAAATAAATAAATAACCTGCATAGTAAATGATCAAATGACTATGGAGAACAGTATTTTTCAATGATGTTTACAGCTTGTACTTAAAATTTTTTTTCATATTATGAACAAACCATCCCCTCCCTCCCTTTAAAAAAAAAAAAGCCTACTTTTTTTTTTTTTTAATCACTAAGGGCAAAAAGATGAGCATCATAATAATGTTTAATGACACTAAATATTACTTGGCTTACCTCTGGAATTCCAGAGCCACAGGCATATGGAGCAAATACCTTTACCAGGGAAACTGCAAGAAAGGCAAAACTCAAGGCCCAGAAGATATACATTATGTAGTTCATGATATAAGAACCAGGACCCTAAAAAGAAAATAGTTCAAGAGTATGAATTTAATTTACACTGAACCTCTAATGCAAATGCTTGCCATAAGAAACTTAAGTAAATGGCCAGGCATGGTGGCTCATGCCTATAATCCCAGCACTTTGAGATGTTGAGGCAGGTGGATCAGCTGAGGTGAGGAGTCCAAGACTAGCCAGGCCAACATGGAGAAACCTGTCGCTACTAAAAATACAAATATTAGCCAGGCATGGTGGTGCATGCCTGTAATACCAGCTACTTGGAAGGCTGAGGCAGGAGAATTGAACCTGGGAGGTGGAGGTTGCAGTGAGACGAGATCATGCCACTGCACTCCGGCCTGGGCAACAGAGTGGGACTCAATTTCAAAAAAAAAAAAGAAAGAAAGAAAGAAAAAGAAAAGAAACTTCAGTAAAATGTGTAAAAGTTTCCTGGTTTATTTCCACAATAATAAAAGCTTCATATGAACAAAGTATTTAAGTAGAATCCAAAAATTCATGTCTATATATACCAAGGAGCCTTGAGCCCATTTAATCTTTTTCCTAATCCCTGAAGTCTTGTTACCAAGATATCTCAGCTATACTTCACCTCTGCCTACAAACCACTTTTTGGAACCAGTGGTGGAAACAAATTACATCAGCATTCAGATTTCATTCTGCTGCAACTTTCCAGATCATTAAATAAAACTCAAGCCAGGTGAGAAACAGCATACTACTCATCTTACCACAAATATATACTTTTTAGCTCTAAAGTTCAGCTAAAACAAAATTTAAAAAATATATCCATATGTCGTCTTGTAAAAAATATACCTATGACATCCTAAGTTCTAAACTTAGGATGTCGTAAGTTCTTTGTAGATCACGGTAAATTAATCATTTAAATGCTGTAATGCCACAAATAAAAATCTCTGATTTTCTTTAATGTATCTCTACTTAGAGGGTTGATTTTACTAAATTATTTGATAATCATACTTTCATAATTCAGACTTACCAATCTTAGTAATATATTTGTTTCAATAACTTGACTTCCTAGTAACTTTACACAGATCCTACTGCAATAACTATCACTTCTTTTCTACTACAGCTGAAATATATTTGCGTCACAATCCTGTGGATTTGTTATATGACTATGTAGTTAACTAATACAAAAGCTTCTTGAAACAATACTACACTTAATTATTTCTTGCTGCAATGTGTTCAGGTGGATCCATTTAATGTGGATGCAATCATCTAATATGTGATTAATCCTATAGTTAAATGAATTGAAAACATTTTGCTATATCAATCATTAATTCATCTTGAGACAAAGCAAGACTGACCTCTGCTTGACCGATGATTAATTCTGCCCACGTTTTCCACTGCGGACATTTATCCCTCTCTTCAAATGTTGTTTCATTAGATCCCCAGCAGCACTGCTCGTGGTTGTACCACAACGCACTAAGGCAAATGCCCTCCTTTAGGTCAGTCATCCAATCGGCAGCAATGTCTATTAATCCGGCCAGCGCCCCTGCAAAATAGGTTGGAGATGACCAAAAAAGAAGTCAACTTCTTGGGAGTTGAGAACAATCTAGTTAAAAGGCAAGTGGAAAGCAGGAGACTCCTAAATAAAGGGTCATTTAAGAACCACATGGCCAGGAGTGGTGGCTCACGCCTGTAATCCCAGCACTTTGGGAGGCAAAGGTGGGCAGATCACAATGTCAGTAGTTCGAGACCAGACTGGCCAATATGGTGAAACCCCGTCTCTAATAAAAATACAAAAATTAGCCATGCATGGTGGAGTTCGACTATAGTCCCAGCTACTCAGGAGGGACTGGGACTTTAAAATATAAACATATATCTTAAAACTGTAAAGAGCTTTTTACAATGAAATTGCCATTTTTGTTTGGAATTTTAAAAAGTTACATCATTCAAATTAATTGTGATCCGAAAAACAGTGTTTGAAAGATACTGAAATATCTTCAAAAACAGCTACTTGGCAGGAGGTTCACAAATCTAATTTTCAATCCATAACTTAATTAACAGACTTATAAATGATGTCAATGTCATGAAAATTTAATGTCCATTAGAAATAATTATTGAAACTCATAGGATTCATATTTACAGTTTTTTCTTAAATTACAGAAAACCATGTATCAAGATTATTTTACTGTGAGAATATAAAAAATACACAAATTTATGGTCAAATCTGGGTCCTTCTTCTCACATAAAAAAATCAGTGGGTTACATACACAGAGGCCATAAAATTATTATGCACACCAATTAGAATTATCAGTACTTCCCTCTATTATCTACACAACTTTTAATTTTTTTGTGGTCTTCTGAACATTATCTTCCAACATGGAAGCTGAAAGTGATTATAACAATGCTTAACATTTGTTTTCAGGTCCTCAGCAGTGATTTCTTAAAATCTCACACATTGGAACTTTGTGGTCATGCTGTGTAACAACAGGGTGATGGAGGGAATAAACTCTTGAGCAAAACGGCTTTAATTCAAATCCTGGCTTGGTCACTTACTAAGCTGTAACACCTCAGTCAGACTAAGCTGCTTTTCTTCTGCTTCAGTCCCCTCATCTGTAAAATGGCGATAATGACAGCACTGGTACCATAGGATTGCCGTGAGGCTGAAACACATGCACAGTTTTTAGAACAGTGCACAACACATAGGAAGCATTCCATAAATATTGGCTATTTATGATGATCTTAACATCAAAAGATACTTTACTGATCATCTGATCCAAACCACTTATTTTACAGATATGGAAATTGAGCCCAGAAAGATCAACCAAGCTGGATAAACACTTAAAGTGACAGAGCCAAGACTAGACTTGGAAGCCTCCTGCCTCCTAGTCTTATATTTAAGAAGATGTTTTGAAGAAGAGAAACAAATGCTTTATAAAATCCAACGGTAGCTGAAAAAGAAACTGAGAGAAGGAGGAAAGA